GAGGGGCGAAACGTTTCTTTTTAACAAAAAAACGAAGTCCAGATGACATGATTCAACCTTTTTTGTTGTTATATACCTGGATAACTGAGAAAACAAACTTTATGTTGTTGAGAGCTTTGTAAGTTAGAAGTAAGATTTTGAATTATATTCTGGATTTGACAGGGAGCCAAAGGAGAGAAGCTAAAACTGGAGAAATATGATCTCTCCCATTAACTCCAGTTAAGACTCTGGCAGCAGCATTTTGGATCAACTGAAGACGTTTTAAAGAAGTATTTGGACACCCAGATAATAAACCATTGCAATAGTCCAGTCTAGATGCGACAAATGCATGGACCAGTTTTTCTGCATAATTTTTAGATAAGATGTTTCTAATCTTAGTGATTTTACTCAGGTGGAAGAAGGTGGTTCTAGTAAAGTTTTTAATGTGGGGGATAAAAGACATGTCCTGATCAAAAATAACACCAAGATTTTTAACATTGGAACTGGAGGCCAGATTAATGTCATCCAAGGAGGGAGAAAGACTGAAAAATTAATTCCTAAGATGCAAAATCCACTTTATCTTATTGTTCCTAATTTACTAAATGGAGCATTTTGCTCTCAGACTGCAGGTTTACTTCTAATTCCTATAGTAGAATGTAAAAACGGAGAATGGGAGGAAGTTTTCATCAGACTCTTCTCTTATGGAACCAGCTCAAGTTTCTGTTCGTGAGGCGGACTCTACATTTTGAGGATAAATAGATACATCTGTACTTGTTATTTTTTTACTTGCTCATAGCCAAATACAGCGGCTGAAGAATTATAACGATTCAAAAAGATATGTGTGCACAGGACACCTTTTATTGATATAATGTTTATTTTGTGTGGTACCGTTAATAAGATTGTTATGAATTTTGTTTTGTAGTTTGAAATAAACTGATGACTTATTCAATCCAGCTGTGTCCTGGTACAGCTGTGACCTACACTGTATGAATAAAGTGAATTGAAGTGAACCAGAGGAGGAGGAGGAGAGCACCCCGGTGCTGTTTTCATAAAACATCTACGACATGTTCCCAAAATGAAATGATGCGCTTCTGTTCGTGTAATAAGATGATATAATATTTCAAAGGGCTCTTCAAACAGAGGCTCCCCCTTCACGCTCACTAATGTGTGTGTGTTTTTCTGAGTCAGTGAAAAGACAGATGGTCAGGCTGCATGTGTTTTGTTTTCTATGAGTGATTGAAACTGCCTCTCTGCAAATGGCTCATGGGCGCCCCCGATTCTTCCACCCCGCCTCTGAATAATAAACACTCTGTCCTCTGTCAAGGTTTAGAGCAGTGAGATGCCTCAACGGCCTCTCTGCTCTCACCTCCTCATCCTCTCCTTCCTCTCCTAATGAAATAATGACATTGCGTTCTTTCCCTCCTTCTTTTTTCTTTCTTGCTGCTTTGCCCAAATCGACACTTGGCCGTCTCTTGCGGTGCAGCAGAAGCTGAGTCATAAAGGTTTCAGTGTCCTGATTTATGGACAGTGATGTGGATGCTGGGGGAGTTGATGTGAAGAAGAGGGGAGAAGTACTGGCGTCAGCTTGCTGATCACGAAGACGTATGTCAGGACAGAGGCAATCTGCTGACTTCAGATAAAGACAAGAAAAAAAAAGCTTCTGTACCTCAACTCTTACACTAAATTAAGGTTCTCTGAAGCACTAAAAGAAAGCAGTGGATCTGTCACATTAGAAGTCTGGAGCTAATGCACTGGTGTTGTTTGTGTTTTATAAACTCTGATTGACTTGCTGACTGTGCAGCGTTCTCTTCCTGTCTGCGGCACATCCCTGTGGAAACGGGCAAAGGTCTGCGCCTGCCACACTTTTCCATTAACTTCCATTAACGCTCTCCGCTGAGAAAGAAGCGTGTTTTAAACTCTGCATGCAAGGCTTCAGGCTGGAAAGCGTGCAAAATCATTTATTACTGGCTATGAATTTTGTGTGTCTGTGTGTGTTGCGTCTACAACTGATCTGATTTGACTCCTCATTGCAGCTGCTGGTTAATATGAGCACAAATGAAAAAGCCCAGAGCCAGCTTTAGGTTGAGAAGGCTTCAAGGCTTTATTGAAGTTCAATGCAATGCATGATGAGACTTAAAGCACTTAGTGGGGACTTGAAGGCATCACAAACTGCGTATATTGCACATGAAGACAGTCGTGGAAGCACAATTTGGTGTCAGGAAAAGCACCTGCACACAGATCTCCACAAAGCAGGATCTCCTCCTGACATCTCCTGTTTTTTTTTAACATCTTTGCTTTCAGTGCACACATTCTGTTAATACATGCTATTAGTTGTTCAGGGGGTCATACATTTACCAACATTACTGAGGTCAAGTTCGTTTTTATTTGGTTTTAATGTGGCATTGAGCACTGGAAAACATTGACGGGTTCATTTAAACTTTTTTTTTTTAAAATAGGTTTTCACAGATTTTTTTATTTTATTCTTTCTTAGTTTCTTCCTCCTTTTTCACATCCTCTTCCTTTTGATCAACATCATCTTCTTCTTCTTGAGGCTGGCTGTCCTCTTCTCCTTCTTCCTCCTCTTGTTTGCCTCCCTCCTCTGCTTCATGGACAGAAAAGCAACAAAAATTAGAAACAGTCCTTTTATTAAACATCACTAAAGCTAAAAGTCTAAACTAACCTTCTTCATTGTCTTCCTCAGCTTCCTCCTCTTGTTTAGCCTCTTCCTCTCCCTCTTCTCCCTGCTCCTCGTCTCCCCCCTCCTCCTCCTCCTCTTCCTCTTTCTCATCTGCCATCTCCTCTTCCTCCTCTTTCTCTTCTTCTTCCTCCTCCACCTGTTCCCCCTCCTCTTCTTCCTCCTCCTGCAGCGGTCTGGCCTCAGCCTGATGCGCCTGGCTTGCAGATATTGCGTCCTCCGTGGGAAGCAGAGATGAATACAGGCGGGAGCTCAGCAGGTACGGAGCTGCAGAGCTCAGCTGAGACTGCACGGAGACCTGGACTCTCCCGTAGGACGGGGCACTGCTCACGGCCTGGGAGTAAACGGTGAAATGGCCCGGTCTGTCTGTGCTCAGACGATCCTCTTCTCCTTCCAGGAGTTTCCTAACAGAAGGAGGCACACATGAATCCCACAGTTATTTAAAAAAAAAAATACAGCTTTTGTGCATAAAACGCTGGAATGAATGCAACTAGATAAACACCTGTATGCTGCGATTTCGATATCTAGTGCCATTTTTACATTCAGCAGGTCCTGATAATCCTTCAAGTAGCGAGCCATGTCGTTCTTGCTGGCCCTTAATTCTTCCTCCAGGTTACTTATGGCGTCCTGAATAAAGGGAAACAAAAATGTGCTCAGTAACAACTTGAAACTTTTTGTCAGACTTACATCTGTTGGAAAAGTCACACATTGTTGTTAGGGATAGTGAGCTCTGCTTCTCTGTGTGCTGATCTTGCTCACCTGCATCGCAGAGATCTCATCGCTCTGTTTCTCCTCCACTTCCTGCAGTTGGTTTTCTAGAGCTTGGATCATCTCACGGCCCGCATCGATCTCTAACGTTCTGGCTTTCAGCAGTCGGCGATACTCTCCAGCTTCGTCTTTGGCGCTGCGCGCGCTCTCGGTGTTGCGAGTCGAGCCTACGGTCATCACGCTCATCTTGTTGCAGAACCACTCCTCAGCTGCTTGAAGGTTACTGTGAGCCAGCTTCTCATACTGCCCTCGAATGTCCCGGAGCGCAGAGGAAAGGTCCGGTTTGGAGATCTCCATCCCCACTGACACCTCCATGCTGTACTGCACCTGGGCCTGCAACTCCGCTATCTCACTCTCACAGATGCGCTTCAGGAAGGCCAGCTCATCCAGCAGGGTGTCGACTCTCTTTTCAAGTTCTGCCTGGTCCAGAGCAGCATCGTCTGCTCCCTTTCTGGCATCCATGAGCCGCCCCTCTGCTCCATCTCTGCCCAGAACCTCATCCTCATAGCGCTTTTGCAGGTTCTTCAGCACATCCTCCATCTCATCCTTGTGGTCCTGGGCTGCCTGCTGCTCGTGGCGGGCCTCGTCAACAGCAGCACGGAGCTGGCGGATCTCGTGCTCATAGAGGGCCCTAACATTCGAAGGCTCGGTCTGCTTCTGCCTGAGCAGAAGCAGCTCCGTCTCCAGCAACTTGTTCTGCTGCTCCAGCTCATGGACCCGATCAATGAAGCTTGCAAAGCGGTCGTTCAGGTCCTGGAGCTCAGCCTTCTCCTGCGTCCTTAAGGCTTTGAACTCAGAGCTTACTTGGACTGCTTGGTCGAGGCGGAGCTCAGGAGCAGCTGCAGCAGGACGTACGGCGGAGTAGCTCGAAGCAGCTCGGGTGGATGTGGGATAACTCCGGCGTGAGGATGCGTAGGAAGTTACTGGGGCAAAGTGGGTGGAGTAGGCAGACCTGGATCCAATTCCTCCTCCTGCTCCATATCCTGCGCTGTGCACCACTGCTCTCCTCTTGTACGTGGGAGGTAGGTAGTGGTCAAAGCCTATAGAAGCCATGGCTTGAGAGATGGGTTGCGTTGTTTCAGGGATGTAGCTGGGTCGACTGCACAGTGAATCTGCATTACTCAGGCTTTTATACTGCCTGTAATGACTCTGACGTAAGCACTTTTTCCTTTGCTACCATGCTGACAGAAAGAATTGATTACGGCCCCTGCCAGCCGGTCGGTCATAGCCAAGAGAGAATGGGGAGGGAGTGGATGGGGCGGAGAATAAGCAACACTAGAGCAAAAAGGAGCTGCATTAGAGAGGGTCACTGAGTACACAACAGTATACTGTTACACTGAAAACTGCAGCAGAAGTAATGGTTTGGCACTGGAAAAGCCAACGAAGACAAATCCCGTTTGTATCAACTTGTAATGTCTGCATAAAAAAAGAGATGAAGGAACTCAAGTTCTTTGTGACGATATCCTGAAAGAACACCAGTAAAGATAGTATCAAGATGTATGTGTCAGTTTTAAAATGTGTCAGGATAAGTTAATGCAAAAAACATCAAACTATTTGTTCAAATGAAGAGTGGTACCCTCAATTTCAGGGAAATTTCATAGAACATTAGAGATGGAAGTTCTCCCTCTACTGGTAATCTCTTTCAAATACAGCCAGAAAACCAGTCCTGATGGTTAAAAACAACAATCTTCACAGTCATTCTCAATCTGGAAGATTGAATTTCCTGCTGCAGTGTCCTCAGACGATGGAAACTAGTCAGCTGGGCTCAGCATAACCTCACAGCTGCATCCTGTGGAGCAATAAATAAATAATTATTATCTTTACATAATAATATTATATAAGTGGTCTGAAATCTAAGAGGAAAACCAACTTGTGATTCTAATGGTTGAGTTGTGGGTTAATTATTTGTGCTGAGTTTAATTATCAAGTTCTGTTTATTATGGTTTTCATACTTGTACTTTGTTTAGGTTGTTGATGTACTTTGTCTTTATGTGATATATTAGATTTATATTAGATTTTGTGTTTCTCCTGAGGATCTTTGTGAGACAGACTGCTTAATTTGCATATTTATTAAATATGGAATATGAAAATAGCTTAAATGAACAGCTATGGTCACAAAAGAGTTGTCACCTATTTAGAATCACAAAATGAAAAGGGAATTGTAGCTTTTCTTTTGTCCAGGCTTGACATCATTAAGACAGCAACAACCAAACCTGATCCGTTTGCTCTAATAGTTTAACTAGTTTACAGCTTCATTACTGTAACGTCCAGCTATACAGTATACAGTGTAAATGTTTTAACATGTTTTTGTCAAGTAGCTAAGGAAAAACCCACAAACATTAAAGACATGCTACTAAACTATAATGGTAGAAAGTTCCAACCTTCTGGCAATAATATTAATAAAAATAAAGAAATACAGTTGTAATTAGTCACAATTGCTATTTTTAGTTCAAACAGAGGACAAATACGTATATACAGTAGAATCACTGTCTAATATGTACTATACCAAATTTTAGTTCCATCCATCCAGCCATCCATCCATCCATCCATTCATCCATCCATCCATCCATCCATCCATCCATCCTTCCATCCATCCATCCATCTATCCATCCATCCATCATCTAATATCCATCCATCCATCCATCCATTCATCATCTATTATCCATCCATCCATCCATCCATGTATCATTCACCCATCCATCCATCCATCCATTCATCATCTATTATCCATCCATC